TTTTACCATATCATATGCTAGGTTGGATACCAGACACACAGTTGGAAGTTGTATTCTACAATTACAAGTCATATTCCACCATTACAGAGTTAACAAGATAGGATTTGAATTAACAGACAAGTGAATAGTCAGTAAGAGGAGGAGAGGAGCTTTTTGTGAATAGCATGTACCCATACTTTGAAATATATATTGATCCAAAAAATGATACCAGATTCAGCAATTTAAAAAAATAACGAAAATACCAGACAATAGTTATAAAGTACCAGAGCCAGACTTAGCATTAGATATGGTATTACCAAAATATGAATATTTTGATAACATACTGAAGCATTTTTTTTCTGTACTCAAGAAAACTTTAGTGGATAGACCTGACAAGCCTTTGGAAGTGAAAGCTACAGATTTACATGACTGGTAAGATGACATGACCCACAAAATTAGATTATGACAAGGAGATACATTCACTCACAAGTGGAAAAATCTATCCAGATTCATGCATCGACTTACAAATGTAACATAGGAATGACAACTACACATGGGCATTTAATGCATAATTAAAACAATGCACAGGATAACATAAATAACATAGCTATAACTAGAGATGATTCACTAAATGTAGCAAGTGTACCTAAAATCTGCACTGAACTAAAAATGCAAAATTTGCTTTAAACAACATGAAACAATTGAGAAAATGACTGAAAAAGAACAATGCTGAAGATAACCTATATGAAGTAGCAGATATTAATCACAATTTCATGCCTGATTTACTTCATACTTGAAGTCACTTATGATTGTACTCTGGGAGTTTAGTACGATCGATTTGAACACCCCACCAAAATTAGTAACCATCAACATTTTGGCATCAGATATGACTTGTACAATCAGAAGACATTCATAGGAGCGGTACGATATCACAATGCCAATGAGACATTTACATGGTAACAGAGTCAAGAGCTACTAACATGGGAGCACAACATGTATGTCAGATACAGATAACCCATTCAAGTGGCATAAATCCAAAATATAGTAATGCCTAGGCCCTAGATTGTGAATAATAGAAGGGGGCTTTAGCAAATCCACTTGTGTCACTGGGACTTTTAACAGTTTTTTCTTCTTTAGAACACAGTTCTATTCACAGGTTTCACTTCTTTTTCTCATTTGCTTCTGTGCGAAACAGCCCAGCTCATTCATAGGTGATAACCAAAAATATCATTTCCTCCTGGAACTTTGTTTTTCTGCCTTCAGGATGAAGTTTTCATGTCTCCTTGGCTTCTGACTTGGTTGAAAATTATTACACCATCTAGTCAACCTTATTACTCTCTGAATTATCCACTGACCCATCTTCTTATATATCTCCATCAAAGAGTCTCCAGATAGATCTTTACTTTAAATTTACATGGGTAGAAGCTACCCTTTTGATTGGACAATAAATACAGAGTATATATTTTTAAAATTTGAAAAATGAATTTTGAAACAATCTGGCTTGACCAAATTATTTCCAGTAGTTCTTTTAGTGCCAATTCTAATTTTAGTAACTTTTACAGACAAATGTAACACAATTTAATTTTTGATAAATCATTTGGCTTTATTTTAAATACACTTCTCCCAAAAGTAAGCATAAAAGACAAACATTGACTATTATAATATTTATTCATTTATAATTATCTATACTTTTTATTAATCATTATTTTTAATTGTTTTATTTTACCTAGTAATAAAATAATTTTACATAGTGCCAGACATGTAATTAGACTAGAAAAAGACTAAAGATTTCAACTACAGATTATAAACAACTTAATAATGCCATACTTTGTAACAGTCAAAAAAGTATAAAATCAACTTTTTGATTGTTAGAAAATGAAGCAGCCAAAACATTATGTACTAAATAAATCATCTCCCACAAAAACATCAATGGATATTACCAAAAATTTCATGTCAATTATCTCCCATGGTTTGATAGCTTGAAAATAGGGAATAACCATCTATATTACTTTGAGGCAACTGGAGACTAAAAGCCACACATATTTCTGACTATAACCAAATGTCTGCCTTCATATGAGGTCAAATAAATCTTTCTGTAACTAGTCTGATAGCCATGCATAACTTGTGCTAACCAGGATGAGACAAGTTATGCACAGTGAAGAAGAATGTCTATCACAATATTTCTGGAACAAAGAAGCATAATTTTATGTTGCTGGTGTTACACACAATTTCAAAATCACTATTTGGAACACATATTTTCCAAAATTTCAAAGATGTGAAATTGTCCTGATATGCTTCTGGAGTTAGTCCTTTTCCTGTTCTTCCACAAATTACTAAAATTCCATGCATGGGTCCAGCAGTAAAGTATTACTTCTACTAGACATGGTGTCTGCTGGGACATTTTCACTTTTTTTAATGAAACATATATCTGATGTGACCTGCATCAGTAGTTCAAATGTTTAGTCTCACATGGCAAATAGTTATCTAATGTTGACTAGAAAGCACCAAACAAGGGTCTGTGATTCTCTGGAAAGTTTCCATTTCCAACAAATGTTGAAAATCCTTCCCCCCAAATCCTTCCTAAGTCTATTGAAGGTGCCAAGTGTATGTCTTGCTTTTAACTGCCATCAACAAACTCTTTGAGGTTTTCATCATGCCAACAGAGACAACCTCCCGAGTGATAAACAATATGGATTTCAATCTGCTAGGTCCACTGCTGATATCCTAAATGTCATTATGCACAGTATCAGTGAGGCATTAGACAATAAATATGTCACAAAAACAATCTCCTTAGATACATTGAAGATCTTTGACAAGTTGTGGCATAGGAGATTTCTACACAAGCTCTCCAACTATAGAATCACTAGAAGAGTGTTATCAATTATCAAGTCCCTCCTAACATGGTCCATGAGATCAATGCAGGCATCTTGCATGACTTGCTTCTCAGTCCTACCATTTTTCTGCTTTATACTAATGAACTGCCTAAGCACATACTCTAATTTTTAGAGAATATCTATACAGATGATACAATGGTATATTGGCTTACTTTCAAACATATAAATGACCAGAACTTGACAGGTGATCTATCCTCTGATTTAGCTCTAACAACTCAATGGGGGGAAAACAGGCTTGTCATACTCAATACCTCAAAAACCAAATTATTAATGTTCCATTATCACTGAGCTGAATTATCATGATGAATAAAAGTTCTTTCCAGGAGGACACTTGCCTTGATTGCCCATCCTAGACCTCATATATATGACCCATCACTAAATATGATGAAGAAAAGGTTGATTCATTGTACTGCTCCACTAACTACCTGATTTCTCCTGCTCTTGCTATGCTCTACTTTTACAAGAGCCAGATCAGATTGAAAATAGAATACCGCTGCCATATATGGGCTGGAGCTTCCCAGTTTTCACTTTCCAGTCTTAATAGTATTCAAAAGTGTCTACATGGCCTTGTGGATGATTGATGAATTATTTTTGCCCCTACAATCCTTTTGACAAACTACATTCCTTAGTTCCACAATTTCCCTACCCTCACAGCTAAGACCTGCTATGTCATGTACACTGAGTTGACCCCTCTTTATTCCATTTGTATTGCATTAGTAAGAAGGAAATTTCACTTGAACAGCTTCTTCCCATAAACCACTACTTTGTGGCACCATCTCCCAAGAGCATGCTTTCCTGACCATTACAATCTTAACTTTTTGGGGTAACTATTATCTTTCCCACATATTCTCATAAACTACTGCACTTCTTACCTCTTACTGCTCATACAACAATTTACTTCAGTAACCTTCTACCTTGAGTGGCTTGGGCTTTGTATAGAGTAACATTAAAAAAACATTAGTAAAAAAAATAATGAACAGCTGAATAAACTGCAAGGTGCTTGCATCCAAATATGCTGAACATGGCCTCTGTTGGAAGTTTTCTAGAAAAAAAACAAAATTAGTTTCCAATGACTGTCGATTTTCTGTTGCAAGACAGCACATACGCCAATGGAAGAGGTGTTGACCACTAAACACAATTCCCTGCCTGAAAAAATGTGTGACAATTTAACAACATGGGACAATATTGATTCAATATTATGAAATGCTGCCATGGTAGGGTCAAACAAAACTATGTTACAGTTTTTGACATTAGTTAAAATATTAGTCAAATATTTGTGAACAGTAGGGGAGAAATCTGTGAAAGAAATTTACTATCCCTAAAAATTGTCATAATTTCTTCATGGGTGTTAGGTATGGGGAATTGGGAAATAGATTTTACTTTAGAAGGAGCAGTGGAAATTTCACCAGAGTTGAGTGATGTGATGATCTCCATCCCTATATATTGTTCAATTCATTTTGACTAATCAGTATCAAGCAGGAAATGCATCTGAAGTTTATAAAATCGCTTAAATATCAAATATGAACCAAAACCTAAGTCAAAAAATGTATTTTTCAAAATTAGTTAAATTCCAATGTTGATAGTAAAATTTCTTCATCCTCATTGAAATCCAAATTCCAAATGAGTGATGAAAAGGTGAGATAATGAGAAAATGACTAATCTACTTTCTCACTTAAGATGTCAAGAATTGTAGTTTTTGAAAATGTGTTAAAGGTTGTTACATAAAAAGGAATGAAAAATCACATCTATTCATAATGTTATAAAAATGATGTAAAATAACAATAAAATTTTAACAAAATTTCCTATAACTCATCTCAGTTGAACATTGACTATTTAAATATGCATTTTTAAGTTACCTTAATTTTTTACCTATTTTTCTCATTTTAATTAATTTTTTTTCAGAAGCAAATGACTCAAAAGTATGCACATAAAAAGTTAATTGCAAGGTTTACTTTTTTATTTAATTTAATCAAAATGTTACCTCTCTTCTTGGGATTACTATTTATTTATGCTTATTATTTTTCATGAAAAAAAAATGCTATTTTTTAAAATGTGGCATAACCTTTTAAATAATGTTTGAATAATAATTTTTTATCGGTTAATAAAATGAATTTTTTTTTTCTTTAGATTAAATAAAGCTGGGATTCCAGTGAGATATTGTACAAATGAAACATCCTGCACAAAAAATCAGATTGTCAATAAATTGAAAAATTATGGATTTGATATTGAATTGTCTAAGGTTTTTTCCCCAATACCAGCTGTATGTGCTATTTTGAAAGAAAGAAACTTGCGACCATTTCTTCTTGTTTCTCCAGGTAAGAAAATTAATTATAACATTTAGTAAAACAAGTAATTTGATAAACTATAATAGCAGCTTAATTAGTAAGTGTGTGTGTGTATATATATGTGTGTGAGAGGGGAGGAGAGAGAGGAAGTGTAATAATAAATTTTAAGTATGAAGTTTGTTAAGTTCAGTTGAGCAAGCCTGAAACAATTTGGTAACTGATCAAATGCTGAGTTGAAATACATAAATCTAGTATATAAATATGGATATTCTTTAAGCACTAATTTACAATCATGTCAGTTATATTCAGGAAGTTTTCTAACTTCTTGTTTATACCAAGAAAACATTACAAAATGAAATGTTCAAAAGCTAAAGATGTTTATCTGTTTGAGGTTAATGAAACACTGTTTGCATACTGATATCTGATAGATGTTATTACATAATCTAATTTATATAGAACTGGATTAACACTTGCATATTGAGCGTCATATAAGGTCAGCTACAAGATTTACCTACCCCTAATATACATATCAGACAGACACATATCCAAAAAACTTGCAAATCTAAAGAGATAAGTTGGTTACAAAGAATTGTACAACTTAAATATATAAGAACTCTTCAAATTTAGCAGATGGCAACTGTGGTAGTGGTTGGTTAGTCTTGCATACATCTAGGAGTAGATGTTATATATAGGTTTGTTATGTAAGGTAGTGGCATACTGACTGCACACAACTTCAATCCCTACTTGGAATATCATAACAACAACATTGATATAATATCCAGTTACCAATATCATAGTTGGGCATATGAATATTACTAACAAAATAGAAGTAGTATAGACTTTGTCATAGATAACTAGGATTCACCAACTTAACAATTGGCAAGAAGAAAACACTGCAGCAATATTAGTATATAAAAATATTCCTCTTAGTAATGATTAGTTCAATGTTTTATTGCCATAATATCGTAATTTAACAATATGTCATTTGTAGTTTTAAAAATATAATTAAATTTCTAAAATTTCTAAAAAGATTTAATAGCAATAAAAAGCAAATATGACAAGTATAAATTTAGTTTTTAAGTAATTGATTACATATTTATATTTCCACATACCTGATATCTGAAAAGATTTAACAGATCATGACATAAGTTATTCTCTCTTCAATTAATTCCAAAAATACAATCCCAATTAAGAAAACTTTAAATGTCATTTTTTTTTTCACAGATAAATTGCAAATTTCTCTACATGGTCTACTCATACATAAGAATTTGCAATGTAAATATTAAAAATAATTTTCTTTTAAAATGTAGTCATTATTTCTACCGCCCTACACCCTCCCTGGTTGTCCAAGACATCCAATACTGCGGCTGATTGATGAAGTGATCGCTTTGATCCTGGACCTGCCTTATCCCATGTGATTTGATCATAAGGTGTCCAAGATTGAATCACTGTATCCTCATATTGGGATGGTCCAAGCAGGGTGAAGATACACAGGAAAACATAAAAAAATAACACTCGAATAAGTTGGAAAAAAAATACTGTTTTAATATTTGTTGACTTGGTAAAGTTTGTTTTACTGATTTGGTAAATTTGGCACAAGGCTGAAGTCAGAGTTTCTTTTTGGCAGATAATCACATGGGGGTGTCTTGCATCTGGTGGCTGAAACAAAATCTCTGTCATCTCCCCTGACGATCTCATTTCGAGCATTCATATTTATGGATGTTCACCCAAACCAGCATGGGGCATGGTGGAGTTGGAGAATTTGGTGTTTCCCCTTACTGTCACCTTACTTCATAATTTTGGGGAATTCTCTTCTTCCACAGGTGATGGTTGCAGGCATCGCTCTGCCTAATAACTTCTACTTCCTCTTATTGCCATTTTCCACTAATGCTCTTCAGTGGGCATGGGTAGCTCCTCCACCTTCCTTGGTGTCTCATCTGCGCCTACCATCTCGACCACTCTCCAATTAAGGGTTGTTGACTGCCCCAGGTTGAAGACAAATGAAAGATTAATTCTGAGTTTGTTATTTATGCAGAAATAAAAGCTTTCCACCCACATGTTTTCATTGTTCAAAAATGACACACAATCGATTCTAAGTGCAAAAACAATCTTTCTATGTCATTCCATGTTTTCTATTGTCCAAGACTGACATGCAATTCCAGCTGGCTGTCTACACTTTTTGGGGTTAATCAGGGGTCACTCTGCAAGAGAATTCTTATCTCTGAATTATGATTTTAAATCCTATCTGATTTTCTCTCTGCACTTTTGACAACCCATATTTTTAGCTGGGTGTCATCAACCATTGTCAACAGATCTTGTCCTATGATCTGTCATAGTTGAATGTTGTTCTCTCCATCAGCCATCTGAATTCTGGTCCTTTTGAGAATCAAAATTTTCCATCTATCCCATGGGGTTCATTCATTAAACCTTCTTGTTTATCAGGGGCCTGTCAGTATATCATTCAGGCTATTTATTAACACTTACCAGTACAAATAGTGTCACACTTCTTTTATTGTTTAAAAATGCTGATATAAATGTTTATAGGAAATCAGGTAACTGTCTTAAAATTGCTAAACTTTGAAATTTCTTAATCTGTTTATTTACAAACTTTAGCCAATATTTATGCATTATATATATTTTTTGTTTTAAATGTAAGAATCATGCTTAGTGATTAGCAATTTGAATTTTGCTTCAGATAAATTAAGCATTAAAATTTCCAAAGATTCAATATTATATCAAAATGTTGATTTTTTTTTTGCATGATAATTGATGAAGAAATAATTTAATAATGTATATTAAATTATTTCTTCATCAATTATCATGGTACTATGGAGTAAACAAATGTACAACTTAAATTAGCAAAGAAAATAATTTATTCTAGCTTAAATGTACTAAAGATTTGTACAACACTAAAAATTAGTTAAATTTATGGAAAAGTTTAATCTACATACCCATAAAAATGGTATGGCAAAATGATAGTTTTTGTTGGCAAAATGATGGTTTGTGACAAAATGATGGTTTTTCTTTTTACACTACTATTACTGTACACACCCTCAAGTCTTTCAGCAGTATTTGTTTTAAAACACTTTAGAATTTTAATAAAAAATATATCATGTATTATTTAGTTGTTGGATTGTTTTTTATTTACAAGATAAAACAATGTGAACCAACTACAATACATTTTATATAAAAATAAATATGAAAACAAATCTTTATATTAAAAAATTTGCAAAATTAAAAAAATATGTGAACCAATATTTACTATTTTATAATTAAATAACTATGAAAACAATTTTTATTCATAAATTTATAAAAACGTATGTAAACTATAGAATAGAAATATTTAAATACACATGTGATTTTTCCAAACTTTATACATTTTCTACTATATATTTATTTTATATCTTAAAATATTTATTTTAATTTTCCAGTTATTTTTATTTTATTGTAATCTAAGATCAAGGATGCCAAATCAGTAGAAAACCAATGTCTGAAACTCCCAAAATTAACCCCTTTCTACTCTCTTTTCAAAAATGTAATTTTGAAAAAAATTCTTAAATGTTGCTATTTTTTCAAAAGATTTGGGTGAAGAGTGCTTAGAAAATAAAGCTGGTTATATATATATATATATATATATATATATATATATATATATGAGAGAGAGAGAGATACATAAATAAATGTGTATGTAAGATTGGCATTACTAATTTGATCTAATCTGTCAGTAAATTAAAAAACTAACCTCTTTATATTAAATTGAAACAAAACCTTACCAGTGATGGTTATATAATTTACCTGAAAATTACTTATCAAATGAAACCATTCAATCATTTTTAACAAGCTTTATTTTTTTTATTTTTTTGCAGATGCTTTAGATGACTTTAAAGGAATTGATACAAATGACCCTAATTGTGTTGTTATTGGAGATTTTAATAATGGCTTCTCTTATGAAATTATGAATAAAGTTTTTCGATTTCTTAAGTCTCTGTCAAATCCAGTTTTGTTTTCACTTGGCTGTGGGTGAGTAGATATTGCTTCCATTTTATTTTATATGAATTCATAAGCTTACTTATTTTTTCAGAATTCTTTTTTTAGATATTTCATTTTAAAATTGTTGCTTAAGAGATTATTATAAAATTTTCTCTTTTCCGTATAAATTAGGAAGCATAATTAGGTATCTCCAAAGATTTGCTAATGGGCATAAATGATGAAAAAATGCTCCAAACTTAATAAAAACAAAATCTTATCGTCAAAATCTTATTAAAAGAAAGACCAAAGGATTTTTTATTATTAAATTATATTTTTAATCCCTTTTAGAACCTTCAAAATTTTAATTAAAATTTTGTTTTTCTTGTGTCAATAGTTGCCCATAAATTATTACAGGAAATTTTAGCTTCTTTTTGCAGTGCATTGATTTGGAAATTCTTGCAAAAATCAAATAATTGTTGGATTTTAACAAAACTTTCACAAATTAATAAAATTATTTTAGAAACATTTCTTTTTTAGAAAATCTTGGTAAAAATATTTTTTTTACATCTGTTCTCCCCACCTCACTTATTTAATTTTATGAAATTTTAAGAAATTAATTTTTGTAGGGTTTAATGTTGATATTAGTTATCAGCAGAAGTCCTTGGAGAATTTGAAGCATCAGTTTTGTTTTTTGCAATACATGACGCCTACTTAGAGAAACTATGCTCTTAATCATAAAATAAAAAAATAAATAAAACTAAGACATTATTTAATTAGAAAAGTGTTACATCTCGTGCAAGATATAATAAACAAAGTAACCCAAGTGTTGGTTTTCAATAATAGGTTTATAATCGGATGTAGGTGTGTCAAGTACAGAGACAGAGTCGGGAGTATGCTAACCTCAATAGGTGTTAACAAACGAAGACTTTACGACTGTCCGCTGTGGTCGTACTTAATTGGCAACCTGTCTGTCCATTATTGTGAATGGGGAAGTTGGGTTATATCATCACAACACCTCCCCCCGAAGCTGAAATTCTCCCTTTTGAAAATTTCTGCTTCCAATGTCGTCTTCTTTTTGGATCCGGGCTAAAACGCTCCACTGGTTTTCTTTCCCGTGTGCTCCTTCTTTTAGTTGTCACAATTAGATCCTTTTTGGCAAAGATAATTTCCGCTTTTCAGCCTGTGATTTTTAAGGCAATTATTTAACCCTGTTGAAAAATCTGCGCACACTCTTATTTTTCTGTTTTTCTTCTTAACATAAACTGTGGGCGAGGTCCAATCCGCATGGTCAACCTTAGATATCACTCCCATTTTTTCAAGCCTTTCCAATTCCTTATTAATTGTGTCTAAGGAGGAAAAAGGAACGTTTCTCTTAGGTTTAAAAATTGGTTTCACATTTTCCTTGAGTTCAAATTTGACTTCCGTCTTAGTACATAAATCCAATCCCTCAGAAAAAACTCTGGGATATTCTTCTTTTAATTCATTCATGAATTTTTCATTTTTAATACTTTTTCGTTTTTCTGCACTGTTTATTACGTTGCAAAATGAGTTAATCGGGAGTTCAAACTAATCAAAGAGTACTATCCAGTCTACTCCAAAAAGACATGAATTAATCCCTTGGATTACATACACTTTCGTTTTTGCAGTCTTGCCACATAACGAAATATCGCACTTTAATTCTCCCTTAAAGTTTAATTTCTTTCCTGAGACCCCTCTAGTGGTTTTTTTGGTTTCAGATAATTTGGGTCTTCCAATATTTTTCCATGTTTGTTCATCAATGATGCTTATGTCTGAACCAGAATCCAATAGGAAAGTAACTGTATGATTATTTATACGTACATCTACGTACTTTCTATTTTTACCGTTCTGAATTTCTTTTTCTGATAATACCAGCCTTACATCTTGTAATTTCCTTTTCTTGCGGCAAACCAAATATTTATGCCCTTTATTTCCGCACGATTGACAGAATTTATTTTGTACCAACCCACGTCTTTGGTATGATTTTTTTGCTTCCGCATACGATTGGCAGAATTTATTTTTTGTACCAACACGTGTTTTTGGTATAGTTATTTTTTCCACACGTCTCACATTTTTCTATCTTTTTGGCTTTTGAGTTTTTGAGTTTTTCACGTGTCGAACATTAGCAACACTGTTTTCCTCAATTTGTATATTATCCCTTTTTACGTTTATGAGACGTTGGCATTCTTCGGTCACCCTTTGTAATGTTATTTTCGAGTCTTGCTCGACCATTATTAATATTCTCGACCTAATTTCTTTATATTTAGGATCAGTTAGTCCTTGAAGAAAAATTAGGCACTTGAATATATCTTTGGGAATTTCTTCTAACTTGAATTGTTCAACCAGAGAGTTCACTGTTCCCGCGTATGTCAGAAAATCCTCGTTATCTGCTTTAACGATGTTTAGGCATCTGTATCGCGTGTGGAACAGACTATTCCTTTCGTCAAATATTTTTGACAGAATACTTATAGTTTCTTCAAACGAAACTTCTTCTGGCTTTCTAGGCAATATCAAGTTTGAGTACTTCCTATTCTCGTTTGTCCCTAGTTTCTGGACTAATAATGTTACTCGTTCCTCATCCGACCAATGTTGACATCTCTTGGTAAATATAGTTTGAAACGTTTAAAGTATGCTGGAAATGTAATGCCCGAATCAGGATCATAAATAAATTCGGATAATGAATTTGCTATTCCTTCGGCAGAAAAAAAACATCATTTTTTTTTTCTCCCATCGCCTGTTTCAGAATTTTTTTTCAGACTTTTTGCTGTTGCAGTATTTGTTGTTGTAACTCTTGGTGCTGTTGTTGTTGCTGTTGTTGTAACTCTTGATGCTGTTGTTGTTGCTGTTGCAAGCTTGTACACAGCATTTTAGTCATTTTTGACTAATTGCTCCATCCTGACTTTATTTAGAATTCTACAAAAAAAAAAAATTTTTTTTTTTTTTTTTCTGACGGTTAACAGACAGTTTACAGCCGTAATATTTTTACAACCCGTAATTTTTACTTGAATAATCAATTATTAGACCAGCTCGCATTTGAGTCGCGGTTCAATATATATTTTTCAAATCACAATTTAACAGTAAAAATTTTCTTACTTTTCAAAAAGTTTCCTTTTGACTTGTGACTTCGAAATCCTAATCGGCGTCAACTGATATCTTTGACTTGCGAATCTGCTTCCGAAATCCGTTCAGCGTAATCTGATATATATATACATTTTTTTTTTTTTTTTTTTCAAGTACGTTGCACAATCCTCGTCGCCAGCTGTTATATCTCGTGCAAGATATAATAAACAAAGTAACCCGAGTGTTGGTTTTCAATAATAGGTTTATAATCGGATGTAGGTGTGTCAAGTACAGAGTCGGGAGTATGCTAACCTCAATAGGTGTTAACAAACGAAGACTTTACGACTGTCCGCTGTGGTCGTACTTAATCGGCAACCAGTCCGTCCATTATCATGAATGGGGAAGTTGGGTTATATCATCACAACAAAAAGTTTATAATTTCTTTTATGAATAAGGTATATTATGGATACTATTGTCTTAAGAAAAAAATTTTTTTTTCAATGTATAATGAATTTTTACAAGAATGCTAATTTTTGTAAATAAAGACATCCATAAGCAACATTATCAGAAAATAAGAGCAATAACTGCAGTAAACTTAAAATTTATTAGTAATTTTCTAACATTTCCTCAACAAGTGTCTTCATAAGTAAGACTATAAAAGCCGAAGTACCTAAAATTCAATAAAATATCAGATTACTTAGAATACTTGAATTTGAAAGATTACTTGGTAGTTAAAAAATTATATAAAAAAGGTGTCCACATTATATTCAAGAGGGTGGTCAACACCTCATAAAAACACCCACTTCCATGTTAAAAATATTATTTACTTTTACTTTAAAGTAAAAGTAAATAATACTTGTTTCAAATCATATTAATTAAAATTGAAATCATCTAATGTTGTTGACAGAGTTGTCTATCTGGCTAATTTCTGCTATTTTTAGTGTTTTAAAAAGAAAATTATCCAATCCCAATTTAAATTCAGTTTTAAATACATCAAAGTATTTTACTTACTGGAAATATTAAATTTAATCTCTCAGCTTGAAATTGAAACAATAATAAAAGCTTCAAGAAAGATTTTTCATTTTTAAAAATGCATTTTAAAACTTAGGTATCACTTTTCTTTGTACCTATATAATACTGATTTGTATTTTTTTACTTAATTCCAAAACAGTTTTAAGAATTAAAATTGTCAAATAAATCATTTTCTTTTCAGAAACAAAGGCTTAAATTATTTCATGATTTGGATACATTTTTTGCCTATTAAAATTCATTCATTATAACTGATAAAAGTATGTCATAAATATGTTATAACTCCAGTTATATCACTTCTATAAATAGAGCTAAAAATTTTAAGCATTCATATTCATCAGCCAATCACACTCCTTTTAACAAATTCCAGTCCAGTTCCTAAATTCTGACTTGCTTTTTTAAATGGCCTCATATGACAAACTTTTTCTTTTTTCCAACAATAATACATCCTACTTCCTAATTTCCATAGCTGAATTCACCAAATTGCATTAAAAAAGGTAAAATACTTTCTGATAAGGTCAGTAAAGTGGATACAATACATAGAAATCAAATTACTCCATTACTCTTCGGCCAGCACATTCCTTTTGATTTTGGAGACTGTAAATTGTAAAATTCCCATTATCACTCACAAATCTTATGAAAACTTTCACACACACATGGATACATACATACCAACCTTTTCAACAGTGGGAATAGTTGTAAAAAGGACTTTTATTTAGATAGAACTTAAAGCTTACCAAATACTTATTTTATCCTCTTTCTCTTTTATCAAAGACTGTACCAGTTTTTTGTGTGTGTTACTTTACCGCAAGGAAAATTTGCTTTGTTGTTTTTTAAATGCTTGAATTCTTTTGTCTATACATTTGTTCTATTTCTTCTGAAAGTATTTTTCTCTTTACTGTTCAAAGACTTGTCAATGAACTTAATATAGTGATGAAAATTAATCACATACACTGAAAATTTATTTAATGAAAATGTTAGATCAAAAGTCAGCTAATATCTCTGTGTCAAGCTAAGGATGCATTGGTCCATCCTTGTATGTATTACTAAATGCAGGGATAATTCAATTTGTAGTCTTTTAAAACTTGAAACCTACATAAACACACATGATGTCTACACAACCAATATAAATAAAACAACATAGAATTTAAAGACTAAAATATAACTTCAAATAATTTCACTTCCAAACTCTCTGATGAAACTAGATGAATAGCAAAACATATCATTTTTTTAAAAAGATTTCTTACTTGTTCCTTATTTATTCATTCTGATATATTTTATTCATATTTTCAACTCATTTACCTATTTAAGAAAAGGTCATTATAAAAAACAGGTTTGTAGAATGTTCAGAGAAAGTATGACTTGGACTTGTTTTGTTTGAGTTTTTACTTTGTTCAAATTATTGCTTGGAGAAAGATGTTGAACTAGAGATGAGGATGTTTTTTCTTTCTACTAATGGTAGAGGTTAAAAATAACCAAACTGTTTTAATTGTAGTGTTTCTCTCTAAACACTCTTCTACCTGCCTACCTATTATGCCCTGATTTGCTATAACATCAAAATATTTCTGTACATATTACATGACACCATGTTATAAAAAGATTATATTCAACTTTGTTGATTTATATAATAACTAATCTTTCAAATTCATAAACATTTTTCAAATTTTGCTGATGCACTTGAAGTTAATGAAATAAAGTCTTGAAATTTGTATTTTTAATCTGTTAAATTATTTTGTATTTGTGGTATGGATTATCTCCCCTTAGGACACACTTTATTCTAAGTTTAATAAAGCTTTAGTTAAGTTACATCTGCATTCGTTTTCTCACTACAATTTATTCAACTTAGAATTGCCCAAGATCGAACATTGCATGAGACCACAAAAGTTCGACATTGACCCTGACCATACCACAGCTGCTTAGCAATGGACCCATTGGATTTTAACATTCAAAGATTTTGTAGAAACCCTTAAAGTGGAGCACCCTCACCAACAAATAGACAAGGCTGATAACATACTATCTGTCCCGCACTCTGTCTAATATCAGGCTCCCCTTCTTACAAGGAAGCTATAAACTTGCTGCATGCAATTTACATCAAGCCTAAAAATGACATCTACTTGCTACTCAAAAACAGGAAGGTGGTGAATCACTAGAGCACTACCTAACTGAATTGAGAACACTGAAATTTTAAAGCAATGAATGCAAAAGAAGCCCAGGACAAGCATATGGATACCTTTATAAACAGCCTTCGCAATGTTCAAGAATCTCTTCATAAACAAAACCATGACATTAAAAACTGCTTATGAAACAGCCCATAATTTAGAAGTCACCCAGAGACAGTCCATTTTCTTCTTACCTACACTTGATATGTCTCAGGAGTCTCACACTTCTTCCAACTCTTCATTTTTGTCTTCATCATCTTCTTGTGACCAAAGTTCTGCCTCCAAGCAACCAGTCACAATAGTCTGAACAAAAAAAAAATGCTTCTTCTGTTATTCCTGTCTAGTTAGAAACATCAGGTGTCGCAAATGTGAGAAACTCAGACATTTTTCTAAGGTATGTCAATCTTCACCCTCTCCAACAAACTTTGCTCTAATACTTCTGTCATAACTGCTGCTTCTCCAGACTGCCTTTCTAAAACCATACTAAAAAAAAGTAAGACCTTTCCATCTCAGTTCATCCGCCTGAGCCTGAGGGATGTTCAAGGCCACCTCCTCGACTCTGGTAATGATATCCCGAGTAAGACCTCCCCCCCCACATAGAGGAGAACATGACTAAAGACTGTGTGTACGCTATCCCCTGCAGCTGCGGAAAGGAATATAAAGGAGAGACAGGCTGCCCCCCTCAAGGTAAGGCTTCAAGAATACCAGAAAGCTGTAACCTGAGGGGAAGTAGAAAAATCAGCCGTGGCTGACCACATATAGAGAGAGAAGGGAGATCGCCGCCCTCTGTGGGATCATGTTGAGATCATAGACAAGGAACACCATTGGAAAATTTGTAAACTTAAGGAATCAGCACATATGCTAGGCCACAAAAATCTCCTGAGCCAACCAAGCATAGAAATAAATACAATATGGGAACCAGTAATAAGGAGTGCCAGAGAAAAGCAATGATAACAACAAAGTTGCAATATGAGCTCTGGTAAAAATATATAATGATAACAGCAAAATTGCAATATGAGCACTGGTAAAAATGGTTGCTGAAGACATTAGGTTTATAATACCCAGAAATTCATACCCAGATGTCGTCAAGGACTCATGGCACAAAGATAAAGGCATTGGTTAGATCCAGTGACAGGACCCAAATAGTGTGAGTTCAAAACCTGGTTAAGGCAGTGGAGAACTTTCAGAGGGAAATTAGCAGGAGATAACTGATAACTGACATACATCAAACATGGCACATGGAACTAGAACAGTCTACCCCAGTGAGCAAAATTCCAACCATCTGAAGAAGGCCTGAGCGTACAATGGCCGAAACATTGTGATAAATATGGCGACAAAAATGAGGACAATAGTCCGAATAATGTAAATAATGTACATAATACCTCATCTCAGAAATATAGACAAACAAATACAACCTTACATTAAATTATGACAAATGTTTCTTTGGGGTGAGAACCCTCAATTTATTAGGGCAAAGTGAGTCTCTCTGAAATGGAAACCACTACTTACAAATCGAAGAATACATAGACACTTTGAGTCGAAGGTTTATACTTCAAAGCCAGGTACGCAAGACAAACCCGGGACAACAAGCTTAGATGAATCAATGTCAAATGTGCACCACCACAACATCCTCTGAGGATGCGCAGGAGATCGTTTCAGTTGAATGACTTTGTCCCCTACTATCAGGGTAGAGTGTGGTATGGACTATCTCCCCTGATACGTATTTTGTATTTAATTATGTCCAATAGGACACACTTTATTCATTCTAAGCTGAATAATGCTTTACACCTGTGTTCATTTTCTCACTACTGTATTATAAGAATATTTCAAAGTTTGAGTTGATTTAAGGCTCACTGAACATTGAGTAAAATGGAATAGAAAAATTGAACAAAAAAACATGCTTTCAAAAAATTAAAGAATAGAAAACATTAATTTTTAAAATATTTGGTTAATAATTAATAGTGCTTATTTATTGTATTCATTTTGTATTCTGATTTCTTTATCATTTTCAGTAAATATTACCAAGATAATGGAAAACTTGTACTTGATGTTGGGCCTTACATGAAAGCTCTGGAAGTAAGTTTAATTTGCAGAATTCAAGAAATATGATTTTTTTGTAAAACACTTAATTTGCATGTAAGAAAAAATATATGAAAAATTACTACAATAGGAAATGTATATAATTATTTTAGACTGATTTTAAAGAACATTGTGTCTGTATTGAAATTTGTTTATTTGGAAAATTTCCGTTACTTTTTCAGTGATTAGAAATTTTATCACAAGATGATGTAACAGTTATATAGATCTAATGCCACAAATCCACCATAACAGATAATTAGGGAAAATAGTAGTCGAATGTTTTTATTCTTTAATAAAAAATAAAATATATATTTTTTTTATCATAGAACATATCTATAGAGCTTAGATAAAAGATGTTTGATATTTCTTTGAGTTATTGAAATGATGAGTTGATGTGCAGGTGGTTTAATGGATAGCAGCTCGGAATGAGAAATCAGAGACAAATTCAAATTTCAGTTGGGTTCATTACATTCATTTGGGAAAGATGAATCCCGCTATGGGTTTGGAAAAACTACTGTTATTCTCCAAAAAATTTTAATGCAGTCTTCACTTGCAAAAAAGAAAAAATTATTCTTACAATCCAAAATATGTTTCAGCTTTAATTAACCCATAATGGATTAATAAGCTATAAAAAACAAATTGATAACTACTAAAATAATGATATAAATTCATTTTAATTTTACTTAAGATATGCTAAAGTAAATTTTAGAACATTTCTAATCCAGTTTTAATAAGATAAATTATTACAGAATAATTTAAAAAAAATAAATTTGAAGAGCTATTAAATGTTTTAAATAAATGTGAATCAGAGAGAATGAGAAATTCTCTATATTTGTAGAATAATTTGCTTGTAAGGATACAGAAGGCGTTTATCTTCCTTTGGTAGAGATAAGTCACGTGGGCCACATGACAGCCACTAAGTGACATCACTTCATATTGTGACAAAAGCAGCAGTCAATTTTAGTTCATTTTACAGTAGCCAAAGAGAGAGGTTGCTTTCTTTAGCCCAGGCCCCCATTGCCCAGGCAGAGGCTAAATCTGCCTTCCCAGCAGCTTATAAATCAATTTCCCTTTAGGAATATATCTTTCCCTTATATAGAAAGAAACTCCAACTTGCAGTCCTCAATTTGGGAAAACCCAAGACTCACTGTTTTCCTTTCATGGAATATGTCCTTGATTGGGACATAGATGAATCCGGCCTGCTTGAAGTCCTAAAAATGGCTTCTCCAGACACAGGATTATCTCTATATTATATGTAAGACCTTTCCTTTTTTGTTTTTTACAATTTGCTTTGCTGTGTAATTATATGATATACTATTCTTCATGTGGGACACGTATATATCATTTTGTGTATGTCTTGGTGATATAAAAGTCTCTCTGAGAACAAAGCATTTTTGCCATTCTGTTTATCTGTGAAGTACAGTGTTATTATATCGTGGATATTTTAATGCCCATAACAGGGAAGATAGAAAGGTTTGAGTTGTAAAACCATTTGTAAAAACATTTTTGTGGAAAAATGTTAATTTGTATAAATTTACTTTGTTTTGTTGAAAATAATGACTGAATATAAAATACACATTCAACACTCTTTATTCTTCATGTTTAATCAGGGTAAAAGTACAGCACAAGTTAGATCACTGAAGCTTATGGAAACAATGCATGATGTGAATGGTTTACAATGTTTAAAAAGAATTTGAGCTCAAGGTCAAATAATGTTCTAAAAGGGCTCAAAATTCAAATACTAATGAATTGGAGGAATTTTGAAAGGAAGATACAGCACAAATGGCACATTAATTTAGAACAAAAATTAGAGGTGAATCATTCAAGTACATTATGAATCTTAGAAAAATGTTCAGAAGCTAGAAAAATAGGTTGTACTATAAAATGAACTTCAACATCAAATAATATTTTTTTGTTTTCACTGGGAAGAGTATCTTTAGACACTGGTGATGAAAAATGGAAATCTTGGCTAGATCCATGACATCTTTCAACATAAACTAAATAGATTCTAATGGGAATGGGAGAAATTATCTATGTGCTTTGCGAAATTCAAAGAGAATTCTTTATTATGAATTGTTGGAACATGGAGCTTGGCAATTGGCTTGTTTCAATGACACATTGGAAGAGAAAAGACTTTCTATGCAAGAAAGTTGTTTGGTGATTTTGATGTTTGAAAATGCCTAGCTTAATACTACAAATGCAATACAGCAATTGTGGAACTGGAATGACATTTATCCATGCATTGAATATTGCTGGAACATCTGGATTTTTTGCTATGTATTTAGAGATTCTTGATAAAATCCAAAGAAGAATCTGCAATGTTATTGGTCCTGATATGGCATCTTGGCTTCACACAGCAGTAATATAGCTTCCCTGTGTCTTTTGCATAAATACTTTCATGGTAATTGTTCTATGAACTTTTCTTTATTGTATTTAGACTTTATGAATTTAAGCACAGTAATAGATAGGTGGCAAGGTTTCACCATTTTACAGTTGAAATGACTAAATGTAACCATAAGTTCTATGCTAACCATGCCTTCTCTCACGTTTCTTGCTTGTGGAACTCTCTTCCAGCTACTTGCTTTCCAGTCATCTTTGATCTTCAAAAATTTAAATGCAATGTCAATCATTATCTTCTGTCTTAATTCCTGTTCTTTTATTGTACCCTCTCCATAATGTTTTTTTTTTTCCCAATTTCTCTCATACTCAGTAACCCCTTGCATCTTAGTGGCTTTATGGCCTTGCTTGGGGTGAAATAATTAAAAAAAGAAAAAGGACAAGTTATTTTATATGCAATCTATTCTGTAGACCTGTCATCTTTAGACTTTCACTTATTTTAGTCCATGCAGTCAATAAAACTAAGAAATTCAATCAAACAAAATGTATTACTTTTGTATTTTAAGAATGATATTTCTGCTCTTATTTTTATTATTTTGTTTCTACTGATATATTCTTTGACTTTTTTCAGACATATGTTGTATTCAGTACTTCCAGCACATTTTAGTTCCTCAACAAAAGCTCATGAATCAGATTAATAAAACTTTACGTGAATCATACCTTCATAATCTTGCTCCACCAAACATTGTTAGATCATAATAACTCCATTTAAGGAGTTTAACCATGAAAAAGAATATTAACTTGTTTTCCCTGATGTCTTAAAAATTCAAATAAAATGTGGATTGATGGCCTAATTTAATTATAATGTAATAGATATAAACAAATTTGAAATCTTATGATAATTACTAATATATGGCACACTCACAAAGTGAGCAAATGTGGTTGCCATGGTTGTCACAAACTTTCAAGTTGTAAAAGTGTAATATCTGTAAAACACTTTATTATATTTGTATTATTAATATAGTCTAATTTAAAAATATGTATTATTGCAGTATGCCTGTGATATTACTGCTGAGGTTGTGGGTAAACCATCTCCTGATTTTTTCAAAGCAGCTCTCAATGACCTTGGACTTAAACCTGCAGAGGTAAGATTTTATTGAATATGAGATTTGACTAAATTTTAAATAAATTTTCTTTTACTTGAATGGTTATAACAGTCTGTGCTATTGTTGGATAAAAATGTTTAATATTTCAAGGAGAGTACTTATTTGTCTAGCATAAATATTAGCCCGTGTCACTACAGAATAATAATGGTATTTTATATGTTGATTTTTTTTAATCATTTCATCCCAAGCAAGGCAATAAGGCCACTAAGATGACAGAGGTTACTAAGTGTTAGAGACTATGAGAAAAATACTATTAAGGAGAGAGACCAATATAAGAACAGAAATTAAGAAGACAGAAAATAACAATTGACATTGTATTTAAATTTTTGAAGATCATAGTTGACTGGGTAGCAAGCAGCTGGAAGAGAGTTCCACAAGTGAGAAGTGTGATAGAAAAAACTATTATCTAGCCATTTCAACTGTAAAATGAGACTTTGCCACCAATCTAAAATCATACTATAGAGGAAATTTCATCAGAACAATTACCATGAAAATATTTATAGAAAGGGCACAAGGAAGCTACATTACACCAGTGGGAAAGTAACTGAAGCCAGGGTGCCAGATCAGACAAATAATATTGCAGATTCTTCTCTGGATTTTATCAAGAATCTTTAAGTTAGTCATGGGCAAAGTGGAGACCATGGGCCACATGTGGTCCATTTCACTTTCTGAATGGCACACCGAATTCTATGAGGAAAATAAGATTTATTAAAATTTTGTTTATTTCGTTTCATCCTCACTTGTTCACTCACATTTTCTCATGCATAACCACATACATAAACAATGTTTAAGCTCACCATTTCTTGAATTTTGTAACTTTTCATTGAAGGTAACATTTTCATCATTTTAAACGATTGGTGATTTTCACTAAGGAAGAACATGCTTGTAAATATTATTTGCTTTAGAAACAGGAAATACATATTTTTTTCTGTCTGGAGAAGAAACATATTTTTCTCTAGAGAAGAAATATATTTTTTAATTTAAAAATTATTTTTTGTATTTTCAAATGAATAAATAAGAAACAAATCACATGCAGCAGTGTGTGTTAACTACTGTCATCTGTGATAAAATTATACTGGGACTTCATTTTTTTAATTATTGAGAAATCTTTTCTCCAAAAACAATCAACCTTTCACTATTTCTATGGCTGATGCCTATGCATATTGTCTTCTATGATGAAAATGGCTGAGACAACTTCAAGAAAAAATTACCTTGAATCTTTTTAGTAATGTGGCTTGCTGTATGATGAGCCATATCTGATATGGTTCATTAGTCAAAAAAGGTTGCCTAGGGCTGCTTTAAATATATAACATGAGGACCAGATCAAATGTCACAGCAATATTCAAAGCAAGGATGAATGGTAGACTTATAAATATGTAAGATATATTCTGGCAAGAAAAATTGTCTAGCAGTAAATCAACTTTCCTAGCAGCAAACCTAGCAATTGATTCAATATAATCTTTCCACTTCATGCCAGCAGAAAATGTTAATCTGAAAAGACACAATGAGTCACTCTCCTTGAGGTTAGTATCAGCCTTGCTGAAGTAAAGCAAAAAAGGTTCTCTTAAACAATTAAAAGAGAGCAGTTTTATTTTGGAGACATTAAAATTAACAAGCCATTTCTTGCCCCAGTTAACAACAGATTGTAGGTTACTTATTAGATCAGTTGCCAATTTGACCTTTTTTAACCACTCAGACTTACTATTAAGACAGGAGTAAATAGTTATGTTATCAGCATAGATACTGAGTTGAAAACTGATGACATCAAGAAGGTTGTTGATGAAAATTAGGAACAACGTAGGTCCCTGGAGAACACCTGACAAATGCCTTCAAGATATCCAAAGCAACAGGCTGAGCTTCACCATAGCATGTAGTGTAGCATGCAGGAAGGATTGGCAAATGAGAAAACTCATCTGACAGTGACTGTGATGTGAATGCCCCTTCAGTGGACCCTAAATGCCTCTTGCAAATCAATCACTGGGTGTCTCAAGCCAATCCAAGTAGATGACCTCTACTTAGTGGCATTGCTCCTCCTTACATCAGAAGGACAGTCCACTCCCAACTTGAAGTTGAAGCAGGAAATTGACCCTCATTATCCACTCCACAGCTGTGAACTAATGACAGATTCAAGTCAAGACACAGCTTTCTTTTATTTGAACCACTGAACAACAGATTTCCTTGTCAGCAGCTGTCCCTGTGGACCAGCCACCTTAACAACATGGAACACAGGCTGTCTCTCAGCCCTATAGAATCCCTCCCCCTGTCTCCATTGATGTCTGGACTTTCTGGTTCTGCCTGAATCACCTCTGAACAGCTGTTGGTCACTGTAGAGTCAACCTTCAGAAATGGGGATATGCCACTGATGATTCCAACTGTCAATGCAGGCATTTTATAAACAGTGGAGCATCTTCTAGTGTAGCCCAATCTTGAAGATTCATGCACATTTAATGACCTTGAAAACTTAACATGCCAGGCAAGTCTCTGTGTGCAACACTGGATGGGTGTTGTATAGCAACTCAATAAGAAGAACCTCACCATTCTTCTCTAAAGCTTGATAGACTCTTTCAGCAATAATCATTAATACATCAGCAGTTGACCCTGTCAAATCCCATGCCTGGTCAGTGGTTAGCACATAGGTGCATGGGTTTTGCCAGTTATATTCAATCAATCAGAATTTCCTCTGGCTAAATTCAGGTTCAATCTCTGGAGAATCTCAAATCCAACTTCACTTATTAAACCTAATTAACATTTTTGATTAGTTCTTTTTCTCTGTTCCACTTCATAAGAGTAATGAAGTTCATTCTCATATTTTCTTCTTGTCTCTATGCCACTTAACTTCTCCAAATGATATTTAATTGCCAACAGGCTACTATCAAGCCTGTCTAGGGATTTACTCACCTCTTATGAGTCAGGACACTACCCATCTTGTAATACTGATGAATCAATCTCTATATTACCTAGGCAAGTTTGCAGCTATTGTTGGCAGACTGTTTTGTATACTGTATGGTTAAATATATGTTGTATATACTACTTTTTGCATTAATCATAACAATACATTACTGACAAATGACAACATCAGTGAAGAATACAAAAATTATTCATTCAGAAAAGTAATTTCAGTTACAAAACCATCATTTTAAAAGTTTTTCTGTTTTGTTATACTCTGAGACCCAAAATTTGTCCCATTCTTTTCATTCACTATTTTCTGAAAATTTATACTAGCTGTCAGCATTTCAATTTACTACTACCATGATGGTTATCTTGTGATACTCACTAAAACTTTTTTTCCCAAGTGCAAGACTGTTGAGAGAAATATTTTGTTTTTTTCTTCTTCATTAATTTTATCTTGCATTTTATTTATTTGCTTTAATTTTTACTTTTACTTTTGCTTGATGTAAGTCATCTTTTTTGTTAATGACAAACATTAGCAATCTAGTTCTGGTGATGAGATCTTGCATTAAAAAGCCTTCATTGAGCTAAACACAAAGGTACCTGTATGTGTAATAAACTTTGTATTTCAAAGGGAAAATTATGAGAAATTTAAGATTAGAAGACAGTAGGATTCCTGTAGTAATTGTAAGAGTAAACAGAGCTCAGGACAACAGTAAAAGTGCTAAGCTTTATTCAACTAAATACAATGTCATCAAAACCAGAGGAAAGTTTTTCAATTGAGGCAGAGAAACATCAAGCACAAGTAGAACCAGGTTCTAACTGGCCGCTAGGATATTTTGAGTAGGTGTAATGAGTATGCTGAGAATTTTTATCATGCCAATGATAATGTCATCACTACAGAGTATACTCCTGATAATCTTGAATCTGAGGTGAGGGTGTCCATCCGACTCCTGCTAAAGAACAAAGTAACAGCAGTTCACATCCCAGCAGAACTGTTTAAGACAGACAACTGATTGATAATCTGAATGAGGTGCAGGTTGTGTAACAAGATCCTGGAGATAGGTGAGTGACTAATAAATTAGCTGAAGTTAGTGTTCATCCCCATTCCAAAAATCTTGGGAACTGAAGAATGTGAAGAACATTGCACCATCATTCTGATCAGCCATGCAAGCAAGATACTTCTATGAATCTTGTTGCAGAAAGTACAGAAGACTGTTGGAAGAACAATCCTCTGAGGTGCAGATGGGCTTTTCCGAGGTCTGGCACTCAGATTATTTTGAGGGCTCCCCACTAGTCAGAAAAGTGTTTGTTGGGAATTTCCCTAATATTTTCGTTTCTCTCTGAATCAGATTTTGACGATGTCATTGACCAGTTTGCGACAATGAAAACAAGAAAACATTCATTCTAAGACCATAGTATCGAATGTCATTCTTTTGTGTATTGCCGTGTTTTGTATTTAGTTGTTCTGAAAGTGAACAGTTGCAGTTTAAAAATCTTTTGATTTGAACTAATTATTTTGTGGTATTGGATTTTGTCTTGGATCATACATGTAAACAGTAACGTACCGGTCAGTAGAGTAAAGTAGAGGTAGAGCATGTATGAAAATTTAGCTACAGCTAACCATTCAGCATAGGGTGAATTGGGGTCATTGGGGTGACATTTGAGCAGACCGCCCTGGGTGACGTTTACTCTAGCTACACCACTGACCTCTCGCTAAATTATTTGAACTCAACTTTCAACCAGGGGAATCAGTTCCAAATTTGTTGTTTACAAAAAATGAAATTTTTGCTTTACAGCTTGCATTTGCAGCTGTGTGTCCATCAATATTGCCTTCTAATTCTGGGTCACTTTTCCATTGTTCAAACTGCTCAACATAAAATTCAAGTCATTTATGTGTGAATTGAATCCTCAATTCTTCCCATGGGTTTTTGGTATTAACCCTTCTCATTTCAATGAATGCACATAACACTTTCTATTGATAAGGAATCTTTCTTAGATTTTTTATTGCAGTAACAACAAATAGTATTACAAATAGATAAAAGTGTATATAACACCTTACAAATTACATTATAATATAGCTAAATTGTTCAGTATAATTTCCCTTCGAAGTAAATGAAGGTCTTATTGATGGCACAATGATTTAGTAATAATGTGTTTGTTCCTTGCTTCTTGTCCATATACAATTTGTCAAACTTCAGTAGTTAATTTAGCTGCTCTTTCCACACCTTGTGAATGTACAGGTAAATTTGGCAACTCCAATGTTGTTCCATTCATTAGAACCTCTTGCAGTTCATTAATTGAAAAACCTTTTGCAAGTGCAGGTTCACAACATCCATTTTATGAGAGGTTAAACAAATTTGACCATTATCACATTAGAATTAAACTTTTTTTTTTCTTTTTTTTTTTTTTCATCTATTCTCTGGTAGCTCACTACTTTTGAATCAAAATAAATATTTTTGTGCTGTAAATTTTTTAATGCAACATTCTGTATTTCAATCAACTTGATTTATTCTCTGGATTATGCTGAAGACATAGTTGTTGGTTATAGAATATATTATCCCTTTTAATTTCAAACAAATTAATTCAATTATAAATTTTATCATAGAGTTCTGGTGTGTAGACACCTCTGCTCTATAAAAACATTAACTTGATGACTAAAGTTAACCATCTTGCTTGATTTAGAGCTCCAGTTTTCCAGGCAGTAAATCTAGGGTTCGCTTTCTCTTCAAGAAATTCCTGCTGCACATTCTAAGAGTGACTCTGGTCACAACTTAAATCTTCCATTGCCTCTGCAGTAAGATATAACTTATCCAGAGAACCACTGTTAGTATTAAATTTTACCTGGGACAAACCTTGATAATCACTTCAACAAAATTTATCTAGAGGGCCAGTAAAAGTAATAGGGCTTCTTGTCATGTTATCAATGTACTTAAAAAACAGATCTAAATGGAAGTTCATTTTGATGGAATGAACAGCCAATGGTGTGTTACTTTCATTTAAGTTTTTTCTCCAGAGTTGTAACAAGTCCTGCCTCATAACCAGTGTAAATTCTGGTATTGTCCACAAGAACTGCTTTAATAGAATTTACGCTGTTGAATTCTAAAACATCAGCAACATCCTCTGTTAAAACAACACCAGTTGCACCAATGTTAGGGATAACTCTGTGGTTGAGATATCTACTTTCCATATACATCTCTGGTGAAAGTCAAATGGTGCTCTGGTCCTTTGCTTATCATAAATTTTTTTTTGCTGTTTTCCTCTGTAATCTCTTTGTATTGCAAAGTGTCATTATCAACTCTTCAATTAGCACCAGTGCAATTATATTTTCATGGTTCTGAAGATGCTTATGATGGGTGGTTATATTTACTGGCTCGTGAAGAACAATTTAGAACCACAAGAGAGCATGAAATTATGAAAAAGGCGGTAAAAAAAGGAAGCAGAACAGACAATGCAAGAAAGGATGAATGGATCCAGTATTGAGAATGATCATGAAGACCAATAAAGAGATGAAAGTGAAGAACAGGGGAGGGAGAATGAGTATTCAGTATTAGTGATGAGCAATTTGGAAATGAGAGTGACCAGAGGTATCATGATGATTCAAATGAGGAGAATCAGTCCAGGATTTCCTATAAAAAGAAATAAAGAGATTCACTCTGAGAGAGGGATTATGTCTCCCAGGGTTGTTCATAGAAGTCAAAGGTCAACTAAAGCCTCTTTCTTAGGTTCAGGGAGGTATAGTGATATGTAAATGAGGTACAGTATAAAAGTATCGCTGTCCCTATGGGAGAGTTACCTTCTCTTGACAAGACTACATCTATCAGAGAAAATACCTATCAAAACAAGTTCCAAATTGAAAACTGCCTTTTGGTCCTATTTTTCTCTCTATGCTTTTAAATATTCCCTTCCTTCAATGGGAACCTGAAATTTCAGAATATGTATATGTGTTTAAAAACAGATCTAGCATATATGATAAATATGAAAGAAAATATCACAATATTATTTACCAGAGAAGAGAAGATTATCAGAAGTAAATTTATATTTTTAATTAATTTAAATTTTGAAAATCAGGACATGAACTAGTTCAAATTAAACAAAGAAAAAAGAAAAACTGACTTAGAATTAACATTAACTTCTTGTGAGAAGGAGAAGTGCAAACATTACCCTATTTTAGTAAAATTTCAAAAGTAAAATTGAAATAAGAAAACTAGAAAGAAAGGGTATTACTTACCTAAATGGAAATAGTTACTTCCACAGAAATAAACAAGCACAACATTTTAAATAAATGTCAGTCTCTTTGAAAATACAAAATGATGTAGATTAAACAAAATGTTTACTTTCTGTTTCAAATAATTAAGTCTGTTATATAAAAATACAAAAGAACTAATTAATTTCAAATGAACTGTGTGTTCATCGCTGGTTACAACGTAAGTACTTTTATTATTTATGCATTGTACTTAATCTCCATTTTGCCTTTATAAGGTGAATAATTTTATATTATTTATAATTTTGATTTATTTTTCTTTGATTTATTGAAAACAAAATAAATGTTGCAATTGGAAAACATCTTAAAGGCCATTTACACATTTGTTTTCCATAAGGGTACAGAATTTTTTGACTGCATTAAATCTTTCATTGATCATTGGGATAAAATTCCAACACTCCAATTTTGAACCTAAACTTAATCTTTAAACTTGTTTTCTCAAAAAATGGTAACAATTTGGAAAAAATATTTTGTCATTATTTATCATGTCAAACTCTAGTTTTCAAATTCAGTGCAATACCACAATTCCAAAATTGACCTGTCCTACTGCACATCAGCTGGACTGACCACAAAAATCAAATGTGTCAGTTCTGGAGGTAGTTGACTGTGACGATAACAAAGTGAAAACTGCAATAGACCATGTCATCAGGTCCAAAAACCTCTGCATCCATATCGATGGAAGGAGATCTAGGGGAAGACTAAAGAGATGCTGGATTGATGATATCAGAGATGGGACAGAAAATATTGGCAGAACTGTAGCAAGGCAGAGAAAACAGTGGAGAGCATTGGTGCATTAGTCCATGGTTCCTGACCATCAGTGGTGAGGATGAGAAGAAAGCAAGCAACAATTTGTTTTATAATTTGTGAGAATGCTTTCATTTGTGTTAGATGATTTAATGAATTAAACTAAAAATTTATGAACAAATTCATGAAGAAAACTGAAAAAACAAATTTATTTCCTCATTTGAATGAAAAACATGAGAAATAAATTTGCTCATACAATTATCTTAATTAATATCTGTTATATGAATGTCCTGTTACCTTTCCAAAAGTTGTTTGGATGCCTAAACTCATTCATCGTGTAATATTATCATGATGTTTCAACCAATCCATTCTACAACCTTCTCCTGGTATAAAATCCATATGGAAAGTGACCAGGCATTGGTAGTGAACAGAAAATAAATTGTCGCTAATATACCGGCTAGCTCAACTCATTCCCAGAAACTGAAATCACACGCCTGAATTTCTTTCTCATTCTTTATAGTTTGTATGTCCGAAAGAACATATTGGCCAAAACATTATGATAACAACATAAAGTATGAGCTCAATTGTTCAAACAATAATTGGAATGTTTTATTGTCAACCAAAATATCCCATATGGTTATGTTAATTAAAAGAGCTATGTTTGAAAATGTTAGAGGATATCTATAAAAAGCAATTCTGGTTTTGGATACATTTTTTTACCACTTTTTCTTATCTACTCCTGTAGAATAGTATGATTAATCAAAATATAGAGAATTTTAATGATTCTTCACAAGCAAAATTGTTAAGAGAATCTATTTTTATGAATTAAACTTTTCCGGGTTCTGGGTCATTTAGATGAAAGACTTCAAAGAATTCTTTGATATAGTTGGATGATTTACAAAGTGAATGTCTTCATCCAGGTATTCATATTTGTTGGTTGGTTCCAAAATTAAGCATGTTGGCTGGCAAAGTCAGTTGTTGTAAAAAAACTGTTTCAGAGCAGTGCGTTTACTACTGTACAGTGACTATTTCATGGGTCAAGTATACCGCAAAAAAAAACAGCAATTCCCAGCTGAAGTTACTTTTGAAGTATTTTAAACTTCTTGCCAGTAAGACTTCATGTTTTTTTTCCTTTTTAGCCACTGACTGAAACACTAAAATTAAAATAAAGCCTTTTTGTTTACTATAAAACTTATTTGGTTTTTGCTGTTCAATTTGCTTTTCTTTATCTATTTTTTTTGTCGCACACATGACAATATAGTATGAAAAACTAGGTTACTCATTACTAAAGGTGATCTGTGTCAAAATTATAAAAAATTGAAATGTGAACAAATAATATCAATATGTTTTATCTAATAAATTAGATGATGTAATTTTAATTGTTATTTTAAATAAATTATCAAAATGATATTTGCAGTTTTTCCTGGCTATATTTTTATTTTTTGTACAATTTCGAGTTATTTCTATTTTTAAGGTTGTGATGATTGGAGATGACATTATAAATGATGTTGAAGGTGCTCAGGCCTTAGGGATGAGGGGTATCCAAGTGTGCACAGGAAAATATAGGTAGGTTGTAAAAAAAACTAAATTGATTGTATTTGAATGTTGAATTTGATATTTTGAAAAACTTGATTAATAAATGTTTTTTTTTTTTTTGTCAGCATATTTAAATGGAGTGGCTTTTGTCAGTGTGGATGTATATAGTTTAACCCCACTTGATTAGTAGTAAATGGTGTAAGGACACCATTGGGGTGTCCCACCTGAAGAGCCTATGTCTAGTGGTAGAAGACAAAAGACTACCCCCTAGAATTGCAGTGTCAGGTAAGAGCAGGTTGGTGACAGGGAAGGAGGTGAAGAAAGAGATTCTTCAATTAGTTCCTGTAGAGGAAAACAACTCTGAGGAAAATGAAGTAACCCTGCATGAGACAGTGGTTGATGCAGCAGAAATATTGCCCATAATGTTGGTAAAGCAGGCCAGCAAGACGGTGAGAATAAAGAAAAGGGAAGAGGTAGGAAGGGCCTTACCCCTGAGGACTATACAACGAGTAAAGCTCTATAAAAGTGAAGAAAAGTGTTTAAAGCAGGTAGAAGGAATAGAAGATGAAGAGATAGAGGCCCCTGATAGGTTTAGGGCCAAGTTGGGAGGCCTGCTAAGAGATAACCGTGATGTGGTGGCCAAAGAGTTGGGCCAGACACACAGTGAAAATGAAAATTGATATGTGTGACCACCCACTTCAGTTGAATCCCTATTGAACATCTATTCATAAGAGACTCCTGGTGGAGGAAACAGTCAAGGATATGTTGAAGACGGGGATGATTGAGAGGTCAGAATCCCCCTGGAGCTTCCCCATAGTGGTGGTGGATAAAAAAGATTGTGTAGACTTTAGGAAACTGAATGTTATTTCAAAAACCTTGCCATTGATTGACAACATATTGACCCTGTTGGGGAAGGCTAAATACTTCTCCATCATCAATGGGGCCATCTGTTGGCCGTAGGTGGCGACCCGTTATGTCTGGGGACGGGATCCTGATGGTTGAGCAGGTCGTGACCCAGGTGTAAAGTGGTCACAACCCTGCAACACACCACTTTGGCCCTTAACTGGGCTAGACGGCGGTCGGAGGGGCCCAATCCGATCAATCAGTTGGTCATGTCAAGCCCCATCATATATAATCCACCCCAAACCTATAACTTACACTCCTCTTCCCAACCAAAACTAACACCTACCCCTAAATATATGATGGAAGGCGGTGGCATTTGACACCATGAAGGACCAACTAACCACTGTTCCCTTAATGACATACCCAGATCTTAGCAAGCCAATGGTCCTCTATACAGATGCCAGTGAGCAATGTACAAGAGCAGTCCTTACCCAGCCATGCCAAGTATACCAAAGAAAGTACCAATATACTTCCTGTCACATAATCTCTCAGAGACACTGCAGAGATGGTAGTGATAGAGAGATAGGCATACGCTATTATGTATGTCCTCCAGAAGTTAGATTACTACTTGAATGGAGCCACATTTACCATAAAAACTGATCATAGGCCTCTCTAGTATTTACTGGAAGCAGACTGGACAAAAAGAAGATACAGCAGTAGACATTGAAGTCAAGCAAGATAGAGTATCTGACTGGGAAGGATAACACCTATGCTGATTTACTCTCCAGAATACCCAAAAAGTTGGAAGAAGAATGAGAGTGGAGCCGAGGCTAGACGATAGAGCTTACCAGATAGGAGTAACTAGCAGTAGAGCCCAGCATTGCCCGGGGATGTAACAGTAAGAGATAGATCAAGTATCGACCATCATAAAGACTGAAAAATAAAATTGACAAAGATTATTGTTTAAGGTTGACGGACATGCATGTCTTAATTAGTTTTTTTTTTTTTTTTTTACGAATTGGTCAAACCCAAACTCAAACAAAAACATTGTTTTCAATCGTTATGAGTCTACCGATTGAATAGAATTTTATTATAAACAATTGTCTTGTAAATGGAATTTTTAAAGCATTCTGAATGTAAAAATAAAGAAAAAAGTGTGCAAGACAATAAGAAACACTACCTGCCAAAAAAAAGTGAAGTTTCGTTGAAATTGGTTGAAAAATGTAGGAAATCCGATCTCATATATAAAGGAACACACACACACACACACACACACACACACAAACAACCTGGGTTTTATAATAAGTATAACTCGATATGAGTTGTCTCCCTTTCATGCTCGCGACAGCGATGCCTGTTAATCGTGTTTTCAAATTGATTTTGTGCAAAAACAATTGTGTTTTTCCAATTTTTGGTGCTGTCAGAAGCACCGCAAGGTAATTTTATGTAGTCCTGTGAAGTTTTGTTGAAATCAGTTGAAAAATATAGGAAATCCGATCCAATATATAAATGAACAGACACACGCACACACAACCTGGGTTTTCTAACAAGTATGATTAACTCCAATAGATTGAAGGACCACCCTGTGTTAGAGATGTACAAGGACACACAGGTAGTCACTGACCCCCACTGGACAGAAGAAATTGAGAAGGGACAGGTAGACAGTGAAATAGCCGCTCTTAGAGGGAAAGTAGAGGCAGGAGAGACCTCCAAGTATCCAATACATGAACAGAGGCTATATTATCTCTCAGGGAAAGATGAAGAGGTTAGACCCAAACTATATGTCCCCAAGGATTTAAGACTAGAAATATTGGAGCAATGCCATGAGAAACTGGAGCATATGGGGGTTGATAAAACCTATGATCTGATAGGAAAGAATTATTACTGGCCCAGGTTATATAATGAGGTCACTTAATATGTTCATAGTTGTGTGGTGTGCCAGACACAGAATAGGAAATGGGAAATGGTAATATTAGAAGGGGTGAATGTCCCGAGTTTTCCCTTCGAAAAGGTAAGTATGGATGTGTTGGGACCATAGAGGGAGACCCCTAGAGGTAATACTTACATCTAAGTTTTGTGGATTGGCTGACAAATTGATTTGAGGCATTGCCATAGTGGATAAGAAAGCTAGAACAGTAACCGATTTAGTGATGAGTGAAATTTTCCCTAGATATGGTACCCCTATGCAGTTGGTTACAAACAATGAACTGGAAAATGTGAATAACATAATGAAAGAGGTCCTGAAAAGTCTAAATGTGGAGCACATAACTATGTCATCCTATCACCCCCAAAGTAACGCTAAGGTGGAGAGGTTCCACAAAACCTTGGAAGATGTGTTGCCAAACTGGCTAGAGATGATACGAGAAATTGGGACCTGTATCTGACATGGGCTCTGGCGACTGTAAGGTTTACAATTAATGAAACCTTCAGATTCTCGCCATATTATATGCTGTTTAACAGAGATGTGGTCCTTCCAGTGGATAATTTGCTGAAACCCTACTGAAAGAATTTTTAAAAGTATATGACTTTAAATTTTAGTATTGTTTTAACTGTTCTATATAAATTCTGATTTTCAGCTGAAAAAAGTGAGTGAGTATTAGTATTGTGTTGCAAAAATTAAAATGTTACTATCAAGTCATCCCATAAGTTCTGTCGAATTTTGAATAAAGAAAACAAGTGACCAAATGTTACATTTAATTACAGATTCAATCAACAATGTATTTTCCCTGATTATCTATGACTTCCTTCCATCTATTAACAAGCTTACTAATTCCATTACTGTAAAATTCTTTTGGCTTTGATTCGAAGAACTCACAAATGTCAGTTTTAACCTCTTCCTGTGTTACAAAAGCTATTTCTTCCAAATGATTCTGTAAGCTATGAAACAAATGGTAGTCTGAAGGAGCAAGATCGGGAGAATAAAGTGGATGAGGAATTTTCTCCCAACCACGTTCTTTGATCTTTTGTGACATGATTCTTGCTGTGTGGGGTCATGCATTGTCCTGATGAAACATCACCTCTTTTTGATTCACTAGAGCAGGTCTTTTTTTCCTCAAAAGCTTGGTTCAAACGCTCTAATTGCTGACAGTATATTTGAGCATTAATTGTTGCATTAGGTGGTAAGAATTCAAAGTGGATTATTCCTTGGCAATCCCACCAGATTGAAAGAAGAACCTTTTGCCCATGAAGTTCCCTTCTTGGCTGTGGCTGGGGTCCTTCCCCTTTACCAAGCCACTGTCTACGATGCTTAACATTTCGATAAAAGATACATTTTTCGTCGCCAGTCACAAGTCTATCCAAAAAAGGTGAAGCAAGTTGGCGAGAATGGAGAGAAGAGCAGATGTCAACTTGGGATTTGAGGTTGTTTTCAGACAATTCATGAGGCACCCATTTTCCAAGTTTAGGAACTTTTTCAAGTTGTTGAAGATGACGATGAACAGTTGTATGGTTTGAACCACTTCCAATTCCTCAACTGATAAAGCAGGATTTTCTTCAAGGGCTGCTTAAAGAAGCTTTTCATCAAACTCAACTGGATGTCCGGTTCGATCTTCAAGGGTGAAATCTCCACCTCTGAATCTTGCAAACCATCTTCTGCAAGTTCTTTCATTCACACATTCCTCTCCATAAACTGAGTGAATGTTTCTAGCCGCTTTGGATGCTGGGTTTCGTTTCTTGAACTCATAAAGCATTATGTGCCTCAAATAATTCTTGGGTACTTCCATGTTAGCAGGGTTTTAATCAAACAAAATTTAATTTTATTGTTCTCTGAAATAAAATTTGATCAGTTTAAATGCATCTAAACATCAAAATAATGTTCACCTCCATTAGACATTATAAAATACTCTTTTAATTTTGTTCATTTTAACAAAAAGTTAAAATTCGGACAGAATTTATGGGATGACCTGATATAATTTTTAAAACAGGGATAAAGCATCTACAAATTTACATTACAAAATTAAGTAGGAACCTAGACATGTGATGAATGCTTGTATAAGCAGATTTCTTAAAAATTAAAGCAAATTAACAATAAAAATATTCATTTTTCAACTTGACTAATTTTTGTTGTTTGGTTATTTTTTTACAGGCCAGAAGATAAAATTCACCAAATTGTGAAAGCTGATGGCTATCCTAAAAATTTGGCTGAGGCTGTTGATTTAATTTTATCACAGAAATAAAAGGCTTTTGAATTAAAAATCCTTGTAATTCACCTAAAAATTAGACATTAGAATTTAAAAATCCTTGTAATTCACCTAAAAAATGTTTTTTTTTGTTTTTTGAGGGTTTTTTTTTCACTTTTTTTTAATTTTCTGTTGTATCACAAAAAGTAGACAACTCAAATTTTAAGAATAAAATTATTTTAAATTAAATACATTCTAATAAAATTTCTAAACAAATCTTGTGCAGTTTTCTTTGTATTACTTTAGTAAAGCAAAAAAATGTATGATTTCATACATTTTAAAAATTAATCTGCTCAAATTTTTAATGGTATAAAAATTACTTTCATACTTATGCTTAAGGCAGATAACACTTTAAATAATTAAAACCAAGGCCATATATTTTATGATTTGATGTCTAATAAAACTTACAAAACTTGTTTGATGAAATTAGGTTGGGGAAAAAATATACAAAAAACCACAAAATTTCCCTGAAATGTTCTTAAAATAGAGTAGGAATTTTTAAAGCTTAGAACCATCTAAAATCAAATAAGTCTTTAAAATTGATAAAAATTAATGAATTACATAGAAAATAAGTGCTATTCATGTATTTTTCACAAATTTATTGAGAAATGAAATCCCACCAATATATGTACCATGTCTGGAGTCGTATACAGTCAGGCACATACTGTTGGAATGTTGCAGTTTCTGGGAAATCTGAAACAAGTATTACAGAACAAACAATCTTAGAGAACCTTTTAAAAACATTAAATCAGATAACATACTGCAATTTGTCAAAAAGATTGGACTTTACAGTAACATATAAAAAAATAAAATAAAAATAATAAAAAATATTCATAACTGTTTACACAATCTTAAAAACATGCCTTCAATCATTCTTGACAAATAATAAATCTTGTTTTCAACCGCACCTGATTAACAATAAAACTTCTTCTCTACCATACTTGGGAAAAGTTTTCCTTCAACCACATCTAACAAACTATAAAATTGTCCTTCAACCATATCTGAAGAACTATAAAACTTACTCTCATCCATAGTCGACTAACTATAAAATATGTTTATAACTCAATCAATTTAGCTCTAAATGACCTACAAGTGGTTGAGGGGTCATTAATCGCAATCAATCAATCAATCATGTAATAAGTTTCAGTTAAAATTTTAATATTTTAAAGTAAATATGATTTTAGTTATTTGATCACACAAGTAAGAAATCACCTGAGTCACACAGGTTGCTGAAAAGAGAATTCAAAGCATAACTAGAGCTACCATTTTTTTCCTGTTTTCAGAAAAAAAAGCTACCTGTTTTCTACAGATTATACACCTGAAGAAGACTAGAAAAGATTGGATGAAACATTTTGTGATAATAGCAAAGGAATGAACCAATGTAAATATGCTAACTAGCTTGTCAAAGTTGATGAGTGCAAAAGATTTTTCTTTTCTTATGTCCTAAGTGGTAAGGTAATTAAGGGAGAGTCATATATCAAAAACTGTGTCTCAGGAAAAAATTGTTTTCGAGGCAAAATTGCATGTAAGGTCTCGTACCAGGAAAACTTTAAAATTCAAAACATTGGTATTTAAAAATAACTCATTCTGCAAAAAAGTGAATTGCTCCTTCTGTAAAACAAGTATGGCAACTGGAAGTTTTTTTAAAGCAGTTAAAAAAGAATTTTTATACAGTGTTCTCCGAAGGTCTGGGAAAATGTACTATGGCAAAGGCAGTTTTTCAATTAAAGGAAAATGTATTTCCTGTTTTTAAACCCAAATGTAGTGTGTCCTTTGCAGTTGTGGAACCCATTAACAAATGACTTGATGGATTATAAAGTAAGAGTTATTTCACCCACAGATTAGTGAGTAGGCATCTCTAACAGTGTATGTAAAAATGAAAAATAATAATATTCGTGTATGTACAGATTTTTCTACAGGCTTAAATGAGTGTCTACTACCACATACCTATCTGTTAGCATCCCCAGAAAAGATTTTTTCAAAATGGAAGAAGAGTTTTTCTAAAAATTGACCTGTCAAACACAAACCTGCAAATTGAAATGAATGAAAAATGTAGAAAATTATAAACCGCACACAAGTTTCTATACAGCTACCATCTGAGGTCAAAGTGGCATCTAGGATTTTCCAGCAAGTAATGGATACAATGCTAGCTGGCTTAGATTTTACTGTTGCATATTTGGACAATGTACTCATAAAAAGTGAAACTAGATGCTAACATTTGGAACACATACAAGTATTCCAGAGAATAGAAGATTATAAATAAAAAATAAATAATATAAAAAATACTATATATGTTGTTCTGCTTTCACAGTTGAATACATGGTAGATGATACTCAGCTTTTGTGCATATACATGTTTGTGTTAACATACTTACTAGAGGCAGTGATATGCGTGTTTTATGTTGTAGTTTTGTTGAAGTTGAAACACTACATGATTGTCAAGCTCTCTTTTTGCTTATATGTGTTGCTTTGATATAAAATAAAATAAATAATCAGTTTTTCTTCCCAGCTTTACTTTTTTGCACTACCTCATGCAACCTCAATATAAATTCAAAAGCTGATCAATATAAACAAAATTTGTAAGTTAAAATGCTTAAAATTCTAATCAAAACTCAATATAATATTTTGGCATTTAAACTTTAACTTGCCTCACATATTTTAACTAAATCAAGGTCTTTGGTTTAAAAATCTCAGCCCATCTTATAATTTCATATTAAATCATGGGTTTTAGTGTTCAAAATTTTTTTTCCTGATGTTTTGTTGTCAAGAAGACTGTTCAGAGAGGAGATTCATATTGTCTCTTAAATTTTTATAAGTGTTGAAACCATATAATTTTGTAACATCTGTGCCTCCAATAGCTTGGAACTGTTTATGAAACAGCTGGAAATGTAAACTGTTTCCTGTTTTCATTCTTGTATTTAGTGAATCAGAGATGACTTTTGTGTAAATAAAAATTGTGTAATACTTTTAGGGTTCTGTCCCCTTTGCATCATGAATCTTGCCTTTTATAGATTAGATTCACTATTCTTTTTATGCCATAACTTTTCATTGGTAGCATAGGACATAGTCAATGGGGCCCTGATGAAGGATGGGCTTTTCGATCTTCTAGCATGTGGTATTGTCCTATAACTTAGAAACATTTCTTCCTAGATTGTTGCTATCTTTTCTTTCCATTGTACACATATTTTCAATCTGTTTTTTATATCTTACACCATCCTTTCTGCTAATCCGTTTGATTGTGGTTGGTAGAGGGGCGATTTATATGGTTTGTATCCAATTTTGTTCAACCATTGGCATAGTTCCTCGTCACAGAACTCTGAGGTGTTGTCAGATACTAGCATTTTATGATTTCATGTTATTTGTTTAGAATATGATCCTTAATTTTTCTTTTTGGTTGAGACCTTTTACTTCTATAGAAACTATATTACCAGTTCCTTAAAGTAATAATGCTAGGTATTAACATGGGCAGGATCCATGTTGGTTTATCATATAAGGACTCTTTAGGCCATGTATGTGTTTTTTCTGTTTAATTTTTTTTCTTCAATTACATTTTAATCCATTTTGTTTTCTCCTACATCTGGAATAGCCTTTTTATGATTTTACTTCATTTAACACTTAATTTCCTGCTGGTGATTATTGAATTTTGAATATCAACAAAATCATGTATACTTTTAAATTTTCCTCCTTTGAAAAGGGGTAAATGGATATCCATAACAAATTATACCAATTCATTCCTACACCATCCTGAAAATTCTAAAATAAACTGAATCCAGGAACAATAAGGCTTTGAATGGAGTCTCAGGGGATCTTGATTTCCCATGCCAGCATCTGTCTCTGATTTCAACATGACGAAAATCATATAAAATTTTAAATGTCAGCCAAAAAAGGTTATTTTAGAAATGTTTCTAAAATTGAATTTCTTCAGCCAGTCATCTTCATCTGTTTTTGGACAGGAAAAATAAAATTTTTCTGCAATTTTCAAGATTCCCCAATTTTCTCAGGTAATGACTGTAGGCTTTTTCCACTAAAAACACATGGCGATATCTTGAGCATTTCTTACAAATGCTCCTAATGTGAGCAAGGGCAGCTCCTGGGAAAAATGTCTCTGGGCTGTCTGCAAGAACCCTTGTTTATTCTTCAGTGGGACAAGGCAAAAAATTAACCTTCCTGTCAATTCACTTCTGCACCTGTCATACCATTTTGAAAAACAATAATTTTTAAATTAGTCTTTTCTGAATGCTATCACCTCATAAGTGAATTGACACCAGTGTTAATTTTTTTTCCTTGTCTGAAAGTTGAATAAACAATTGGCCTTCTTGCACTCAGCCCAGAGACATTTTCCCAGGAGAAATCTTGCAACTTACATTATGGTGGCAATTGTCCAACCAAATGTCAAGATATCGCCATGTGTTTTTATTAAAAAAGAATTAAGTCATGTAGTTATTGTTTTCAATCCTGACATCTCTGCAGAAAGATTTTATTTCCTTCCTGTCCAAACTCAGATACTGGTACCTGGCTCTCATGTCCTTTGGTTCACTTTAGAAACATTTCTAAAATAACCTTTAATAACTGGCATTTAAAATTTTATCCAATTTTCCTCATGTTGATCCTTGCTGCACATTCATTTATTTTTATCTATCAATTGTCAAAAAAGGTCGCCTAATTTGCAAATTAAGTATTGTTCTTAGCTGGCCACTTGGTTCATTTTAGAATTTTCAATTCTCTAGGAATGAATTGTTATCAGTTTATTGTTATTGATATCCATTTAACCCTTTTCAGGTTAGCTCATTTATCAGTATATCGTTTTTGTTTGATATTCAAAAGCCTTTATTATTAATCACCAGCAACCAAAATAGTGTTAAATCATGTAGGACATTAAAATACTACCAGACAGTAGGGTAAACAAGATGGATTAGAATCTAATTGTTCATTTGAGGAAAACTTCACCTACATGCTGTCAGCTTATATGATAAACCAACAACCTATCTGTTTATACCT